CATATGTTCATGGAAACAATTTCTGACTTATGAAACGGGTAGGCAAAACTTGCAAATCTGTTCGGAAATTCAGTGTTAAGTTTTATCAATACATATATCGCTTGTAGCATAACCTCCTCCTCATAATCACTCTTATTACGAAACTCCTTGTAGTCATATTTTTGCCGGTATTATGGAAAATGTACGACTACGCGATATTTTGTAATAGATTTTTTATTTACTCTATTACAAAACCAAAAAAAAAATAGTATTTTTGGAACTTATTTATGTAGTATTGGAAGAGCTATGTAGGTCATTTAGTTAGTTTTCTAATTAATTTCCTGGCAAGTTGAATTCTTATGAATATTGAAAAAGGTAAACATAAATTTTAATATAAATTTTTTTCAGTAACATTTTCAAAATACTTTTATAGTATTTTTTTATTCTGGAACTTCATCGGCAATTTGTTATTTTTTCTGGTATTTTACGCCGTCGTCCATTCTTTTATTGAGTTTTCTAGAAATTCGTTCGTATTTATCAGCCACATTCTCCTTGCTCCCTCTGTTCGTTGCAAGTGGAACGTTTTTAAATTAGATAGGTGGAAAAGTCGACTTACCTCTGTAAGTCGGATTTTCTTTGTTTTTTTTTTATATTTGGATTTGTTTGGATACTGGAAACGATATAACTATGAAATTATATAAATTATATACTCATACGAAATCTTATAAGGGTAAGTCTTCTTACGTCCTTGAAATGATACAATATGGATATTTCTTGTAATATGGCTAAGTGACACAAAGGGAGTGGTGCTGCATGAAATGATAAACATTGTTAAATACAATTGGAAACGAAAATTGCTGTAGTGTTTTCTTGCAACCTGCACTATTGTTTACTATTTTATGCTGGTTGTATTTTTTTTTTTTTTTGGAATCTGTGTGTGGGAAATCTATGGTATGATCGTTGGATGGTTTTGCTGCATCACATTCCGTAGGCTCAATGACCCTGCCGTCCCGACATTAAGCCGTGAGCAACATGTCACATGCTACCTTGAAACGTGGTATTTTCTCATTAAATGCCTGCAACGTCAAATGGATGGTGAAAATTTTGTTCCCTACGAAAATAAATCGCAATTGCAAGGTGATCAAAGTTGTCAGCCAAAGTAACCAATTCAATCGTTTCCACGACAGAAGGGTCTACGATCCGAAACGACCCAAGCCCATTGTGTAAAAGCAATAGAGCTGTTACAGCAACCAATCCAATCAGAATATATGGGTGACCATAAAATTTTCCATTTGGTTCTATTTTGTCCATCCAATTAAAATTTTTTGTCCACGTATAATTGAACATTAATGATAAAAATGCACTCAAATATGGATCTACAGCTACAAAATTGCCTATTCAAGCAGCTCTTGAAGCCATCAACTTATTTGAAACCAAATTTGACACTGGCTAGAACACTCAATACTGAGGTATTGTATAGCCAAAGTCTTTGGCTCATTCTAGGAAAGCTGTCAACTGCTTTCCATATGTGTATAATAGCATGGAAGAAAATGTGGATGCTGACAAATTAAAAAAAGGACTCACTGTTTCCTATTTTTGACATTAAATAGTAGTATTGGTAACTATAGATATGGTAGTGTTGGACACAATTAGGAGACCTAAAAAGTCCAACCAAGATGTCTCTTAATTTCCTCAAAGATTCTCTCCAATTTTTTTAGATATATATATATATATATATATATATATATATATAGTAAACAAAAATTTATTTTTAATTCCAGATGCCGATCTTTTGGTCAACAACAAAGAACATCCTGATGTTAAAGCTGGGGATATTGTTGAGGTTTATCATCGTGAGGATGAAGAAAATACCCGATTAGTTTTGCAAATCACAACGTTTACGGATCTCAAACATCGCGATGCCATCAGCATAGAGAGTGGTGTTGCGACCCAATTTAAATTACGCACATTTACCGATGTTGTTATGAGAGTCGTTGATGTGGCCGATGTTGCGTTGGATTCAATTGAAATTACATTTAAAGATCAATATATGGGTCGATCGGAAATGTGGCGTTTGAAAAAGTACTTGGTAAGTAAATAATTAAACAAAAAAATTTAAGTAAATTAATTGGTTAAATGCTTGCTTGCTTTGCCATTTTGCAGACCAACACCTGCGTTTATGTAAATAAAAAAATCGATTATAACGACATGCAAATACGTTGTCAAGTATATGAAATGTGGTCACAAGGTGAACGTGTCTCATGCGGTGTCATAACAGAGGATACGAAGATTGTGTTTCGCAGCAGTACATCCATGGTCTATCTGTTCCTACAAATGTCATCAGAAATGTGGGATTTCGATATACACGGTGATTTGTACTTTGAAAAGGCAGTAAATGGCTTCCTCACGGAATTGTTTCACAAATGGAAGAAACTGGGATGTAATCACGAAGTTACCATAGTTCTGTTCTCACGTACGTTCTATGCTGCCAAATCATTGGACGAGTTCCCAGAACATATGCAAGAATGCCTACAAATGGATTATAAGGGACGTTTCTATGAAGATTTCTATCGGGTGGCAATACAAAATGAACGTAACGATGATTGGTGTACGGTTTTGAGTCAGCTGAGAAAACTTTTTACCTCCTATCAAGCAACGGTATTAAATTATCATGCCAGAGAGGGTATAAAAATACCGCCTGCCTATAATTCAACAGCGGCTCAGGGAAACTTTCTCGAGGTGTTAAATATTTCTTTAAATACCTTTGAAAAACATTATTTAGATCGTACATTTGATCGTACTGGTCAATTGTCAGTTGTTATAACTCCTGGCGTGGGTGTGTTCGAGGTGGATAGAGAGCTAACCAATATTACAAAACAAAGGGTAAGAAGTAATTTGGTAATTATTTCATACTTATTATTATATACTATTCTCTTACTTCTAGATTATTGACAATGGTGTTGGCAGTGATTTGGTATGTGTTGGTGAACAACCTTTACATGCAGTGCCACTACTAAAATTTCACAATAAAGATACATCGGTAACCTCTGCTGATGACTACTCACTGCCGCATTGGATAAATTTGAGCTTTTATTCAACAAATAAAAAAATTGCCTATTCAAATTTTATACCGCGTATAAAACTACCGCCCATGATTTGTAACGCCCCAACCATAATGGATAATAATAGTGTAAGCATATGAAAAAAAAACAATAAAAATAAATTTAAATGTTCTCCACATTTTATAGGATAATGAAAATAATTTTCTAAGCTGTAATCAATCGGAATATATTCATAATTCGTTATTCGATTATGAAGCCTATGATGAACAAATTTTCCAGCCACCACCTGCACAAGGAACATGGTAAGCTGAATTAAAACAATATTTTATATTTTGAAAATTTAATTCTAATCAATTTCTTGCAGTTCTTTGCAAAGAGTTGTGAGGGCCAAGAAAACATCAGTTCCCAGTTTTGAAACATACGCCTATCAAAATAATGATTGGGAGAATTTAACACCCACAAAAATTCCAAGTCTTCGTAGAAAAATGTCTGATCCAGACATTCATCATGGTACTTCGGGAATACTTGCTGCAATGGTATGTTTTAATTTGTTGAACATATAGACAGGTTGTTTTTTTTATGATTTTCTTTTGTAAATATTTCAGACGGATGTCACAAATCTCTCCGAATCACTTGCATCTGATAAAAATGCCAGACGTTCAATTGTCTCTATAGCGCCCATTGTACGCCCGGGACGCTCTTTAATAAATCCATTTGATCCATCACATGTAACAATAAAATTAACATCGAATCGTCGTCGTTGGACTCATATTTTTCCAAAGGTATGTAAACACAAATTTATCATCAAGCTCTAAAAAATATATATCGACGGAAATGAATTTTTGTATATGGGAAATTACAAAAATCTTTTAAATTCCTTGAAACTGAGGTTTGCAAGGTTATAACTCGCGAAATATGAACTTATTGCATATAATTTAAATTCATTTCTATAAAATGAAGTGTTATTGTTAAAATCTTAAAATATTGGTAATAAATAATAAGTTGTGTGGAAGCTGTGATGGTGGTAATGTAAAAAAAATGAGTGAAAATGTGTTGAAGCCAACGAGTTTTTTTTGTGTTCCTTCCTGATTTGTGGCTAAACTACACAACGCACGCACATGTGATCAGTGACTATGTTGCAGAATACCCCATGGACAATATGGTTCTAATGTATGATTTTTCGATATAATCACTGCATCCACCCAAAATGGATGCTGACATTTTGAAGCCGGATTTTCGGTGTTTTTTGAATTTTTCTTATAATTAGGGCGCGCATCCAGATAATGGACTAAAGTAATTATAGGATTGTAGAACTCGTGATTTTTCTTAGTTTAGTGTATATCTCATGAATGTGCTCACCGTAGCTTTTTGCAATTGGGCTCCAAAGACGAAAATTTGGTGCGTAATTTTTTATAAAAAAAACATATTTTTTGAGTCTAAAATTAAGAAAGTCCATTCAAATTCCGTGGAACCCCGCGTGATTTTAGTTTTTTTTACGTGCCGGATCTAATGAGCCCATCCATGTTCAATTCCGCCCAATAAAACGGCGGATATCGGTACCTTGAATGTGGGAAAAATTGCAAAAACCTTTTTTTGACAAATTCGCGTATATAATCGCGTTTTTCTTCGAATTGATTTCACATACATTCATTCTTTTGTTATCATATTCGTGAATCTGTGTGAAAATATATCAAAAATATATCGATACGCATATAATATACGTATTTTATCCAAAATCGATTGTGGAGGCACATCCGCGGTTCTTAACCGATCCTTTCAAAATAGGTGTCCTTTTGTGTATTTGCATAGGAAATTACAGAAATCGGATGCGCATAAAAATCGTATGCTCGTTGCACCATTTTTAGTCATTTTTAGGGTTTTGGCATAGTAAAGTGCATCGAGCGGCACGCTAAAATGTGCGCATGCGCATCAACTGATTTCAACTAATACGCGAACTGTATGCTTTTAAATGTTGGTCATTTTCATATACTGTAACTGCAATATATTTGGTCATTTTTAATAGAGGAATATACCGATATTTAACAATCATCTAAAAGAATTTATAGAAGAAATCGTCACGTGTTGTAGAAGATCTAGACTAAACCGTATTGCCTTAACCATACCAAAAAATCAAAAATTGAAAAAAAAACATTTTGTGGCAATTCAAATTTTAATTTATTTTATTTTCAGATATTTTCAAGCTTTTATTTGTTCTTCGCGACTACTAAACTGTATTTAAAGTTTTTTCAAATGTTATTCCAAACATTTCAATTGCAATTCGAGAATTTCATTTGAAATTCGAAAATTCAATTTGCAATTCATCACATTTCAGTTGTAATTCGAGTATTTAATCGGCAATTCACAACAATTCATTTGTAACTTTAAATTTTTCATATGTAATTCAAAAAATTCCATCTAAATTTTTAAGATTTTCATTTGTAATTTGTATATTTTTATTTGAAATTCCGATTTCAATTTCCAATTCAATATTATTTAACTTGTAATTCAAAGCCTTCAGGTCCATTACAGATAAATTACAAAATGTATATGATGTGCTTAACCTAATAAAGGATAAAGTACCCCAAAATAACAATAAAAATTAAAACATAAATTCATACAATCATAAATACCATAATAAAAACTACTCCTACACAGTCTAACATAATTAAATTAAATTCAATGAATTCAATTTGAGATTCATAAAATTTGTAAATTTGTAATCTTGTAAATCATAATATTTCAGTTGTAATTCTTAAAAATTCATTTCAAATTCTTAACATTTTATTTCAAATTCGAATAAAATAAATAAATTGAACAATAAGTGGTGTAGAATTTTTTATGTAGTGAAAAATAGTATTAAAATACAAACTAATATATACATATATACATGACAAACTCATAAAAGATATATATATATATATATATATATATGCGGTGTTTAAAAGAATGAATAAAAATCAACATTAAGGTCTATCAATAATCTATATAAATTAAATTTAAATACATACATCAGTCGTATTGTGTTCTCCATCACTTGCAGACGTGACTTTTTCTTAAAAAAACCAAAACAACTAAACGCAAAAACAAAAATTTACGGCTATTCTTGTTTTGTTTTCACTCAACATTTACAAGAATAAATTAAATAACAACAACAACATTCAACGGCAGTGCGACGAAGATGTTGTTGCCTCTCCGAGGCATTTAATGATGAGTATGCGTGGTTTTATATTTGTCGGGATCGGGATCGGTGTTGAGAGTTTCTCTCTCTCAGTGGTAAATTGTGAATTGTGTTGGAAAACATTACCACAGGAAGGAACAAAAAAGTACGAAAAGGTACCTAAAATTCTACTTCAAATGATAATAAATCATAATTATCGAGAAATATTGGTCAATATTTATACCAGTTATTTGCATAAATAATATATGTTATAATTTAAGCGTAAATGTATTCACGAATAATAAAAAAATTAATTTTTGTTTTGGTACGTTTATGTCAATTCGTACCTTTTGTGAACAAAAAGTACACTTGTTACAAAATTAAAAATAGCGCAACTCTAATTACTCTCCCAAGAGAGAGAAAATCTCAACACCGATCCCGATCCCGACAAATATAAAACCACGCTAAGAAAGTGAAACCAAATACTTCTCCATGATAGCAGCCAGTGCTGCCAGTTAAATTTCATAAAAAATCGTCAATTTTTCAGAAAAAAATCGGCATAATCGGCATTTGTATTTTTAAAAATCGGCAAAAAATCGGAAGCATATAATTTATAAGTAAATTCATATTTTTTTGGTTTATAACAAATCAATATTGTTTATTACATTAAAAAAAAGATAACAAAGTCAATTCTGTATAAAAAAAAATAACATAAAAGATTCATTTTTCTACAAAAAATGTAGATTTTTCTAAAATATAGTAATTATTATGTACACTAGTGAGATCTTTCAGAACATAAAAATAACTTACAAACTAGTACATATTTTTATTACACAATTTTAGCAATTCATTATCAATTTTGACATTAAAACAATTTGAATTATTTAGTTTGAGGTAATATTTAGAATGAAGAATACCTTCCAATGAATCATTATCAAGTGAGCTTCTAATTTTAGTTTTGTTAAGGTTTACCTGACTAAAAAATTCGTTCCACATTTGCTGTGGAGTGGGGAAGAACCATAATTCTTTGTACAAATTTAGAAAAAAACTGGAAAAGCTAAATTGGAGTCCCCACGTTTAATTTCGGAAATTTTTTTCCAAAAACTTTTTAAATTATATTCTGCATTTTAAAAAATTTCTTCAAAATTCAGAAAGTTTAACTCCCTAAACTCGGAGTCTAAAGATTTGCCTTATTCGATGTAAAATGTAAACTAGACAGAGTACAATACTGACAAAAAATGCAGATATCTAAGCCATTGAAAACGGCTGCGGCGAGTCGCCGATAGTTATAATGATTTAAAGCTGCCAATTTTATATGTTTGTATGGTAACGCCGTATTAAATTAAAAAGTTAGACAATTTGTGTCGATTGTTGAAATATCGGAAATTCTGAGGCAAAAATCGGAAAATCGGAATTTTCAATTTTTAGAGTGAAAAATCGTCAAAATGCCGATAAATCGGCAAATATGGCAGCCCTGATAGCAGCAAATCAACATTTTTATCTGCCTCTCCAAACATTGGACGATGATGATATTGATAATGATATCAACAACAATGATGAGGTTATTATCGATAATTCGATAAAAGTAAAAATACCTCCAATTGCTATTCTCAAGTGCAAAATTGAGGAATTACATGAATTGTGTAGAATTCTGAAAATATCAGATTATTCAATTCGAAAAATTTCGATTGGTTTGAAATTATATTTATCAAAGGAAACTGATTTTGAAACTGGTTGCAAAGCTCTTAAAGAGAATCTTGCTGTTGATTTTTTTACGTACACAGCAAAGCATGAAAAACCTTATAAGGCCATTCTTCTAGATCTGGACAAGATGGACCCGAATGTTGTGAAAAAAGACCTTATTAACATGGGCTTAAAATGTATTGATGTGAAGTTAGTAACTAAAAAGAGTGAAAACCGCATACAATAACATGTTTTATATGTAGTGTATTTCCAAAGAAAATCCATTACACTTAAAGAATTGAGACAAGGATTTTCAGCAATAAATAAGATAAGAATCCGCTGGGAGTATCAAAAACCAAACAGGAACAAATTAACTCAATGTCACAATTGCCAGATGCTTGGCCACGGCTCAAACCGTTGCAACGTCAAAACATTCTGTGGAAATTGCGCCGGAAATCATAAAACTGCCGATTGTAAAGCTTCAACGATGAAATGTGCCAATTGCAATGGCGAATATAAATCTAGTTCCCTCGACTGCCCAGCAAGGAAGACATATATTGATATAAGACAAAAATATCAGCCCAGAAGTCACAGAAAACCGCCTGTACAATTTAACAGCAACTTAAATTATAATGGAACGTTCCCCAATAATCTGAACCAAGAACAAACTAACCCCAATAATAACTGGAGTCCTCCACATGATTCTTCTAATAAATTGTTTTCCCTTGAAGAGATGAAAAAATTAACAACAGAATTAATAGCAAATTTGAGCAAATGCAAATCAAAAGCTGACCAATTTGAAGTCATCACTTCCCTTGTATTCAAATTTTTATATTGAATAATAAAAATTTGAAAATTATTTCATGGAACGCAAGAGGTGTTCGCAGCAAATTAAATGAATTAAATTATTTTTTTTTTTTGAAAGTCAAAATATTGATATAT